GGTGGCGCAGTCGGTTACGTGGCCAACTTCAGCTCAGGTCATGATCTCACTGTTCGTGAGTTTGGACCCTGCGTCGGGCTCTGTGCTGGCAGCTCAGAGCCTGAAGCCTGCTTGGGATTCTGTGTCTCCCTCTCTTTCTGCCCCTCCCCTGCTCGCTCTCTGTCTCTCTCAAAAATGAACATTAAAAAATAAAAAAAATAAAACTACAGAAAACCTCACAAAATTTTAAGGTGACTGTTATTATTTAATTGTCAAAGTAACACTTGCTCATGCCAAGTAATACATGCTCATGTAAAAAATTTAAATAAAGAAGTATATTGAATAAATGTGGAAGTCTTCCTTGATACTCAACTTCCTCCTCTTTCCTATACCCATTCTCTGTCCCAGATATAAATATGCTTTATGAGTCTTGTATCTTTCAGATTTCTGCCGTACATTTACATACCTATCTAAAAACATACATATATAAGTGCACAGGTTTATGTGACTAGGGGCACACTTGACATATTATTTTGTAAACTGGCTTTTATTTAGTTATACATATATTAATATTCAATATGAGTATGTGCTGATCTTCATTTGCTTTAATGGTTTAAAAATATTCCATGGTATAGATATACCGTATGTTGTGAAATCATTTACATATTTGATACCCAATTGTGTTTCCAGATTTTTTTCCATTGTAAGTATAGCATCCTTGTCTGTGTATCTTTGTAGAATTCTACAAATAGAATTAATTGGGTCAAAGGTATATGCATGAAAAATGCTTATATAAACTGCCACAAAAGGCTTTACCAGTTAATATCCCCAGTGATGTATCACAATACCAGTTTATTCACACTTCAGCATTGGATATTGTTGTTTTTTTAATTTTCATTTTTTTTATTTTTGAGAGAGATACAGAGCGTGAATGGGGGAGGGGCAGAGAGAGAGGGAGACACGAATCCGAAGCAGGCTCCAGGCTCTGAGCTGTCAGCACAGAGCTCGAAATGGGGCTCGAACTCACGAACCACAAGATCATGACCTGAGCTGAAGTTGGACACAACCGACTGAGCCACCCACGCGCCCCTGGATATTATTGTTTTATATATTTTTTCCCAATCTGATACATGAAAATTTGATTTATTATTTTATTATCAACTTTTATTATTCATGTAGCAGATAATTTTTGTTTTTCACATAGTAAATATTGTTTCTTTTTCTACTATCAGTGTTTTGTTCTTTAATGGTATCTTTCTAAACAGGTTTTTAATTTTCATATATTTGAATTTGGCAATTTAAAAAGTTATTTTCGGATTTTGTGTCTTTAATTTTGCTTAAAATTTATAAAAAATATTTCCTCATATTTTCTTCTAGTATTTTTAGAATGTGTAGTTTTAATCCCTTTGAGATTTGATTGTTTTTTCTACATTGACAGATAAAGTCCCAATACTATTTGTCAAGTAGTTTATCCTTTTCACACGTTTGAACTACAACTTCTATCATATATTAAATTCTCATGTATTTAAGCTCATGCTAGACTTCATTCTATTCTTTTTTCTTTTCAACTCTTCTACCAATGCAACTCTTTTCATTATTTTGATTGTAGAGTATATTTCAACAGTTTGCTATCATTAATCTTTTAAAATGTTTTCTTGGCCATTTAATTATTTAAATGAATTTTTATGTGTGTCAACTTTCATAACAAGTCTTGTTGGGATTTTGATTGGGTTTATATTAAGTTTATAGACTGACTTGGAAAGAATTGACATCTTTTATGACACTGCATTTTCGCACCCAGAAACACCACAGGCATTCTTCACTTTGTGTGGTACTGCAGGATTGTACAAATGGCCGTGCAAACTGAAACTCTGTAAAGTGATCTTAATAATCAATGGGAAGAATTGTGATTGTTTTGTGATCTTCAAGAACTTTCGGTCAAAACCTTAAAAAGTTTCACCATTGGCTATAGATATACAGGGAAATAAAATAGTAAAACTAATATTTACTGCTCTGTAACTTAAAACTTTAGAAACATTGAGAAAGTGTTTTTCTTTGTAAGAAACTTGTCAAGAGTAGCCTGAACA